GCACAAGCTGGGTCCCAGCCTTCCCGTGCGGGTCGGCCCGGCCGCCGCCAAGTGTTCCGCTTCCGCCGCGGACCCCCTTTTTCCTGGGTCGCGGGCTCCTCAATCGGTTGATGCACGCCCTCAACGGGAACATCAACGGTTGGTGGGGCCTGGCGGCTGCAGCGTCGGCGCCGATTGCCTTGCAGTTGCACCGCGGGGTTGTGCATGTTGTCGAGGACTCCATGCACGCGGTTGCAACGGTTTCGGCCGACGTAGTCGAGGAAATCGGTCATGGGGCCAGGCGGACCGTGTGGGTCGCCGGAACAGCCATCACTCTGGTAGTAGTGATTTTGTGCGGCGCTGTTCTGTGGTACGTGAGTCGTGCCGTTGCCAATCGCATTGCGCATATGCGACATGGCAACACCGCGGCCCCTGAGGCGCGGCTGTCTCAGCTCCTTGGCTCCGAAGCGACGTTTGAGGTCGCGAGCTCCAAGAAAGGGGTGACCCATAAGGTTTGGGTGCACCTCAAGGAGGAGACAGCTGCCTGTGGCTGTCGTGCTTACCTGGCAGAAGGACGCTGCGGGCATTGCGAAGCCGCAATGGACACCGCTCGTTCCCTAGGGTTTTTGCACGCGGCCCAGCGAGGCGCGGGTCCTGCGCTCACAGACTCCATTCGGAGTACCGCCTCCGAAGCCCTGGCTAAGGGTAAGGTTGTGTTGGGTTTGGGGAACAGTGAAGGATGTTTCTCCCAACTTGCGGCCAAGAGCCGCGGGCTCTCCTGCTTTCAGGGGCTCGCGGGTCGTGACCTGGCCGCGGCCCCAGCAGATGGAGCGAGCGCAGCCCACGCACAGTCCGGCTCCGTGCAACGTGCCGCCACTGCCACTGTGGCGCGCACACCAGGCCGGAGGAACAAGGGCCCAGCCCCCGCTAGGAGTTCTCCAGTCAAAGAAGCGGAATTCCTTGCGGGCGGGCCATACGTTCAGGCCGCCCAAACGCTGCTTGGGTCTGGAGCAGCAGAGGATGTGATCTACATCCGTGCGTACAGCTTAGATTGCCCATCCTGCATCGAGGCAATCGAAGCGTCGCTTAGCAAGGGCGCAAGCGTTCGGATTGTCGCCGACATGGGGCAATGCCACCGCACCAAACTTCAGTGGCAAGCGTTGAAACGCTTGGCGGCTGCAGGTGCCGAAGTGAAGGTGGGTTGTGGCACATCCGTGCGCGACGCCTATGCTCGCGACGGCCGCGGGGCTAAGGTAGGCACCGGGATTCAAGGCCTGCACCATGCCAAGGCCCTATGCCTACTGCGGCCTGATGGCGCGGTGGTGCTGATTGGGAGCCTCAATTTTACCACAAGCAGCAAAGCCAATGCGGAGGCAGGGCTTAAGCTTGAGGTCCCCAAGACGCACCCAGTCGCACAGTCCTACATCGAGGAATTCCAGAGGGTGTCGGCTGAGGCATTCTCCCTCGATGAGGCGGTTGCAAAGCGCCCTCAGTTGGAGCGAGCCAGTAGCTCCAACGTTGCTGGCAACGCCACTCGTGCCCCTAACACTGCTCCACAGGGTATCGAGTAGGCTGCGGCCAGTTGGCGCGGCGTGGTATGCATCCACGCATTATCAGAGCAGGCGTTGCAGCACGGCACGTTGCTTCGCCAACCTTTTGCACTTTCTTTTGCTTGACTGCGGGCGAAAAGCCGCGGCAGGTGGAAACCTGCCCATTTTGCTTCCCCGCACCTTTCTCCTTCGCCCTGCCTGTGGCCCCTCGTGCCGAGGGTGCTCTTTTGCAGGTGCTGCGGACCGTGTCCTGGTCGCGGCAATGCGCTCGCCGAAGCGCGTGTGAGTTGCATTGCCCGCGGCACGAGCCATGTGCGCGGCTCTCACTGAGTCTGGTAGCCCGTAGGGTAGTTCCGGATAGGTGAGTAGCCGTAGCCGTAGCTTAGGACCGGTAGTGTACAGTGTACCATTTGTACCATAGTCTGCGTACTGGCAGCTAGAGACCAGCTCGAGGATTCAAGAGCCTCGCCCACCAGCAAAAGGGTGAGGACCTCCTGGGAAAGGGTGGTTAAGGGTTGCTGAGGGTTGCCGTCGTCGTGCGTTCGTTGTGGTGGTGCGGGCTAGCGTCCCTGCCGCATGCCAATGCTCATGATGTGCGGACCACCGCGGTCGCACGCGACACCCTCTCGCTTCCCTTTCTGTGTTCAGCGCGAGTGCCTGCTGCACTCCGAGCTCGAGATGAGCTGGAAGCCTCGGCTGAGGGGCGAATGTGAGCAGGTCTAAGCACGCACGTTGCATGTGCAGAGCTGCCAGGACCAGTACTGTAGTCTTCTTTGCATGTGTAGGTTCGCAATTCGTTTCAATGCCAATTTTGGCTCAAGTACCGAGCTTGTGCCTTTGAGCACGGTAGCGTCGTACAGTAGCTCCTAGGTTGCTGTGCGGTCCGACCGGACGCACTCAGGCGTAGCTGCACAAGTGCTTGAACTCGCGAAGTCGTAAAACAGCGTGACCGGGCTGTGATTGCATTGGCTTAGTGCAAGTCCAGTGCTGGTCGACTTCACATACTACTACCACTACGACTACCACTACCACTGCTATTACTGCTACTACACTGCTACTACTACTACTACTACTACTACTACTACTACTACTACTACTACTGCTGCTGCTACTACTACTACTAATACTACTACTACTACTACTACTACTACTACTACTACTACTGCTACTACTACTACAACTACTACTACGACTACGACTACTACTACTACTACTACTACTACTACTACTACTACTAGTACTACTGCTACTACTACTACCACTGCCACTACCACTACCACGACCAGTACCAATACCACTACCACTACCGCTACCGCTACCGCTACCGCTACCGCCACTACTTACTAGCTACTACCTACTACTACTGCTACTACTACTACTACTACTACTACTACTACTACCACCACTACTACTACGACTACTACAACTACGACTACTACTACGACTACGACTACTACTACTACTACTACTACTACTACTACTACTACTACTACTACTACTACTCCTGCTACTGCTGCTACTACTACTACTGCTACTACTATTACTACTCCCACTACTACTACTACTACTACTACTACTGCTGCTGCTGCTACTACTACTACTACTTCTTCTTCTACTGCTGCTGCTGCTATTGCTACTGCTACCTCTACTGCTCCTTCTCGTTCTCCTTCTCCTGCTCCTGCTACTGCTACTGCTACTGCTACTGCTACGACAATGATGACGACGACTTCTGCAACTGTGTCTTCGCTAACGGGCAAACTCATCAGCACTGATCAAGCATGCCTCAAGTTCTAACCTCAAACTTCAATCCCAATCCTCAGGCCATTGAAAACACCACGACGGGGCCCGGGTTCGGGTTCCAGAGGGTGTACATGGAGCATAGGGTTTACAGGTTTGGTCAACGGGAGATTGCGCAATTCGAGTTGGTTGATCCGTTTCTGTTCCCTTCCGCATTGGAGCCCAGGATGTTGTCGGTCTGCTGAACGAGTCCACGAATGGATCAATGCTGGCCTCCCCCCATCCTGAGTATCGAGCTTTTGGGTGCTGGAGTACCATTGTACCATACTTGTTTTGATTTTTGGGTTCGGGTGTCCTTGCAGGGCCCGCTTTGGAGCGAACGTTTAGGTTTTTCCTCCATGATTACTTCAAAGCCCAGGCTTTGGGATGCCAATGGCGATCAGGTCACGGGAGACTCGAGCACGCCTTTGAGTTTTAATCTCACCGCCGGGGCCGCCAGCTGCGACCCTAGTGCAAGGTGCATGTACTGGGACGAGGTCGCAGAGTCTTGGTCCACTCGTGGAGTGTCTACTTTGTCTGCTTTCCCAGAGGATGGCACCATTGCTTGCTCAACTATGCATTTGTCCCTGTTTGCCATCATCGTTGACGCCATCGCCTCAACGCTTGTCTGCTCCAATGCGGCTGCCATCTTTTCCATGGAAGGCTTCGAATCTCTTCTTTACACGACGTGGATGATTCGGCTGCCATCAATGCTCAACTGGGTATGGGTGACGATGGGAGTTTTCCATCTCTTTCTGGCGATGAGAGCAGACCGGAAGCACCGGGCACACATGGCAGAGCTGCAGCAAACGCTCGACACTTGTGCATTGCGCCAGCGCAGTCAACCAGGAGTTGAAGTCAAATTTCTTTGGGATGCTGCGCCCCAATTTAACCCGAAAAATCTCTTCTGTCGTTGTTCGTCGGAAAACAGGGCTCAAGCTTGACCAGCTGGACCGGGTTTATTCGAAATCCGGGACCACCGACTTCGATCGGACCACCTTCCGCTCGAAGCTGTTCTCCTTGTACAACATGAACTGCTCCTTCATCCAGGTCCTGGACCCTCGCATGTCCTCCACGTGCACACAGCGAACTGCAGCCGTGATCTCGAAAGTCTACTCCGGCTGGGCCGTCTCGGCGGTCTTCTTCGGCCAAACGGCCCTGGCGCCTGATCAGCCAGATTGCGTACCGCCGGAGACGTTGCTGGAGAAGGTGATCCGCTCTGTGGTCATCGCCTGGATCTCTGCCATCGCTGGCGCTATACCCCTTGTCGCATTGATTGGCATTTGCCAGAAGGCTGCCATCATTCCGCCCACGCCTCGCCTGATCTTCTTCTGGACCGTCCTCGTCTCATATTTCCTGCTTTGTCTCATGGTGGTTTGCATTTTCATCGCGAGCGTGGGCGCGGCAGACAGTGAAAAGTGGTTCATATCTGCCTTGACCAGCGTCCTACAGTCAACATTCTTGTCTCCCATGCTTCTCGCCTTCGCCATGGTCTTATGGCTGCATCGCGGCGGGTTGGAAGGCACTGCCGCCAAGGATTTTGCCAAATGGCAACACTCGGGCGAGTTGCAGGCAGTTCGTGTGGATCGTGTTCTGCTGCCAGGTGGTGGAAGACCCCGAAGGCAACTACCTGCCAGGTCGCGCGGAGGAGCGATGTGACAAGACTGCAGGAGATGGGTGCCACCTTTCAGTCGGATGCTCTCTACACGCTGGAGCCGAATCAGGTCCTCATCTTCTCCATCTACAGGATCGAGGAGAAGAAGTCCACCTCGTTTATCGACGGGAGAGTCGGCCGGTTTTGAAGGGGCTCTGCCGCTCTACGACCAGAACAAGAGAAAAATCCAGATCTTGCTGGATGTCAAGGTGACAGATGTGACAGTGCCCAGGTCGGAGAAAGAACCGCTGAGCGAGGGCAGTGAGGCACCTGAGGTGGTCCCGGTTTCAATCGAAGATGAGGTGATCGGGATACAACCCGCCGCCGGCAACCTCCGAGACGAGGATGTTTGGGATGAACTGGAGATACCGAAGGAGTTGGAGCGTCCCTTTGTCTTGATGTCCCTGGAGTCGTGTGAAGCTCATGAAGCTCCTTTGTCGGGAGCCCGAGCCGCAGGGCTCTTCGACGAGCATGCGGATCCCCTTGTCGCCGTATCCGGCGACGTGGGGCAGAAGGAAGCTCCCTCATCGGAGCTGGAGATGAGTGCAAGCAGAGAGGCTCCGAGGCATCATGCCCCCCTGCAGATGATGCAAGGAGAAGCGGCCATGGAGCTGCAGCCGGCCCCCCAAAAACCCCCAAAGCCGGAGCAGGCTCCCGACTTCTCCCCGCCCGAGACCGGGGAGCTGATCCTAAGCGTGACTCCAAGGAAGGTCGCATTGATGCCGAGGCCTCCTAAGTCAGGCAGCCTTCGTCAGGAGCTGGTGCAGGCCATCTCCGATCCGGGGCTTCAGGAATCTAGGAAGAAGGGAGTGTGTTTTTTTTTGGTCTTGTTTATGTTGATATGTATGTTGTGGTTCCGTGTATGAGAAGCCCAGCTTTTGGCATACCAATGCATACGACACGGTGTTCCTCTATTTGTTGTGGGATCTTCTTTCCATTTTAGAAATACAGCTGCCCCCCAGGAGTTCATCAAGGCATCGGAGAAGCGATTCCGATCGAGGAGTGCTTCGCCACCAAGAAGCCGACCCAGCGGAAGCTGAGCAGCGTGTTTAGAACCACTCTTAGGTTTAGTGTTCAGGCTGTCTTGGGGAGTTTAGGGTTTGGGGTTGCGGTCGGTCTTGGGTCTAGAGTTTAGGGCTCGCTAGAATCAGGATCCTACTATCTGGAGCAGAAAGGCTCTAAGGTTTTCACAAAATTGAGATTATTGCTGGAGTTGTAAACACCCTCAAACGGATGCTGCCTCCAATCGGATCTCCTTAGCACCTGGAATTGCACCAAGAAGCATCGAATGGGTGCGGCACAGGGTGTGGCAATGCCCGCTCGGGTCTATGTCTGCTACAAGGGATTTAAGTTCAGCGTATGTTTCACCATCGCCGGATAGAGGCGAGTGTTTAGTGCGTTTCACCTCGTGGCCCCGTGGCTCAGACCCCCCGACAGCAACAAGCGTGAGAAAGGGAAGTGTCGTGAGATGTAGCCAGCGGATATGTGTGTCTGTCGGGCTTCAGTCAGATTCAGTTGCCTGCCCAAGAACTTGCACAGCTTGAAAGGCTTGTCGCCTCGGAGCTCTTTGGGGGAGCATGTAGGGAGGGGCGACGATTCCGATGGGGCCGAGCCCTCTGGTGAGCGAAGAGTTTCGTTGTTGAAGAGGAATGTGGATGCCTTGCACGTGGCAAAGGCGTTAACGCCAAACGTTGGGCCAGTGGAGCAGGCTGTGGTGATGGCATGGAAGTAGTGTCTCAGCTTCCCACAGCTGGCAACGAGGAACCTTCTAAGTGCATTGACATCCCGGTCTGTGGGTTTGATATTTCCCCGCGGAGCGGGCTGTCTTTGGATTGCCTACCCGCCTGTAGGGGAGACATGTCCGGTTCCGCCAAAGGTTATCACGCCCATCATTAGGCGCAGATTTTCCTTTATTTGGGTGACAACTTGGTCGTGCTGGGACATAAACCTATAGGAGCATCGTGATAAATGCAATGACCAAGTGTTTCAGCCACATCCGTGGCCACACGCATGAGCTCATTCATAGCTTTTACCTAGGACTGTGCGGTCATGCTGGGGCGGCGCACTGACCCCGATGTCCTCCCAAACCGCACACTGCGGTTTAGGGTTGAGGGTTTTAGGGTTTAGGGTTTGGGGTTTTAGGTTTTCGGGTTTTCGGGTTTTAGGGTTTTAGGTTTGAGGGTTTTAGGGTTTTAGGGTTGTGCTTAGGGCTGTACCATGCCTTTGGTCACAGTAGAGAGTTTGGAGGGACATGACAGCGTGCAGAATCCAGACGCCTTGCCTCGGTAGCACTGGCTGGGAGGGCCCTTCCCAGACCCCTTCTCAGCGTGTTCTTATACGGAAGGTTTTCCAGGATTGGGAACGCTTTCTGGGATGTGGTGCCCACGCATGTCCTGAAAACTTGTCTTTAACTTCTTGGAGCCCCCTAGGATTTTGCCTGTTTCCTCCAAGCACATCGAAGCCGCCCGGACTTTGCTTCATGTCCTGGAACGGAGAATTTTGAGTTTCCAGGATTCTGGTTTGGCCCCCCCCCCCCTTTGCCCCTGAAACCTTGAGAGTCGCTTCGATGTGCGGTTAAGCGCTTGGCTCGAGCTTGCCTGCTCTTGGCTGCCTACACCTTGGATGTCAACAGTGCCTAGTTCTTGGCTGTCTCATCCAAACCCTAAGGGCGATTGTATAACGTTGCCCTGCCATGCTTCTTGCAAACCGCCTTTGACATGATCTTGAAAGTTTGGGGGCTCTCTGCTTTCAGGGTTTTCCCCACAAAAAGCAGAGACAGGAACGCGTTTTTTGAACTCCGAAGCTGTCGGCCTCGGCCTGAAGTCCACAACCCTGCAAGGCCGGCCAACCCCTCAGCCGCAGCCGTTTTTTGTAAACCCTTAAGAACTTACTTTCGTCTCAATCTTTGCATGACGCATACACCCGAACACACACACACACACACACACACCTCAAGCCCTCATGGACCCATGTGCGCCCTTTGCGCCGGCCCTGAGCGCCACACCTTCGGTTGGGCCGCGGGTGTTGCGCGGATGTGAAAGAGAGAGAGGGTGGTGTCAGTGTGGGGTGGCGGGGTCAAATTGCTCACATCGGTAGGCTTTTTGTCATGGCTATTTGTCTCTGGGCTCAGGGTTTGAGCAAGGAATTTGGGGTTTGAGTCTACTTGCTGGTGCGGGAAGTTTGCGGATGTTGACTGTAGTTTTTAAAGTCTATAAACTTGTGTAAATGGAAGCTTGGGTATGCGGACTACAGCCCGAAGTCTGCTGGTTATATTGCAGAGTCTTTTCTGCCCAAGCAATGGACTTGCGTGGTAGCCGGTCAGAGAGTTCGGCAGTTCAGAGTTCGAGTTCAATGACGTCAGCCTGCTCTCGATCTCGTGCATGCGCAGAATTAGACTTTGCAAACACCCCACGCCACAATGTGTCACGGCATTCCGAAATGGCTCCTCTGAGTCTGTGGTTCGGTCTACTATTTATGGGTCATTTCTAGGTACATCTGGACTTGATGATATAAATCGACAACTAAATTATTTTACTTCGAACATCCCACCTTAGCACTCCAGGGTCTCTGGGGCTGGACACTCCAGGGAGTCTCTGGGGTAGGGCACTCCAGGAGTCTTTGGGGTTGGGCATTCGGGGAGTCTCTGGGGTTGGGCACTCCAGGGAGTCTCTGGGGTTGGCTTTTCAGGGAGTCTCTGGGGTTGGGAGTAGACCGGGCGAGGAGAAGAGTTCCGGGCGAGGGGAAGAGTCGAGTTTAAAATCTAACAGCCCCACACCGAAGGTGAGGAATAAGCAAAAAACAGCAATACAGATAGACATGGTCACATCCCGCCCCCCCCCCCCCCTCGGGCAGCTGCCAGGCTGCTGGGGCCATAGATCCTGGAATTTAGATATCTTTTGAACGTTCGAGCCTGCTGGCGACCTACGAGATTTTGGAAAATTCGAGCCAGCTCGAATTCCCAGAGAAGCCTCATAAATGACCGAGTTTAGTTTGTTTCTTGAAGTTTCGACTCGGGCCTGCCCGAGTTTTGGCGACCCAGTGCTTTAAGATCGTTTTTTGAAATTCGAGCCGGCTCGAATTTTCCAGAAAACATCCCAAAACTGTAGCCATGTGGCCCTCAGGCATCGTAGATGACAGAATTTGTTTTTTTTGTTGGGAAAAAGTAATCCAGCCCGAGTGTACTTGACCTTAATGATGTTAAAGCGATATAGGGTTTATCGGCCCCGTCGGCGTTTCAATCGCTAGCTCACAGCCCCCTCCCCTTCTAAGGTCCACCCGGGGGGGGGGGGGGAATATAAATATAAATATAGTAGATAACTACACATATATATATATATATATATATGCATGGTACTGTCGCGAAACCTTGCTCAATCAGTATTTATGAATAAAGGCTGTATTAAATGGAACATTGAAGAGCGAAGAGTGCTTGGGCTGCAACATATTTCTGAAAACATTCTAACCAATACAATAGCTAACCTAAAGTTAGAAGATTCCCGGCGAGGTGTTTCTTGGATCCAAAGCCTTCAAAATCTTGGATCTAGGATCTTGTATACATAAGGGGGCAATCTTAATGGATCTTAGTTTTGGCGCCTTTGGCCTACTCATTGAAAACAGAGAAGAAGCTGGGGAGCAAATAAATGAAGTAAATTCGCGAAGGTATAACATATTTACACAGTGATTGAGTGATCATCATCGGATATTTTCTCTTTCGCAACCAGGGACTTGCCGCACTTGTAAACTTAAGTTACAATCGGTTTAGCTTAAATGCTCCCTCTCGATTAGAACATGTAGATGCTTGTCGAATTCCCCATACAAAAAGTAGATTTCCTAAGTAAATGTGAGGATTCAAGTAGTTTGAACAGCACAACTGATGTATTATTGCAGAGAGCCGAGAACATTGGAAGCGAATGATAAGGGCAGCTACTGAGACAGTCGATCGAGACGGAAAGCCCTCAAAACGCAGCGGCTGATGTTATTCACCGAAGTCTAGATTGCTTTCCGCATGTTTTCTATTTGGGAGAACGAGTACAACTACTCGTAGCAGTATTGTCCTGTAAGTTCTATCTTGTAGATCGATGAAAGTACTATCTAAGTTAAAGATCCTTTGTTACTCAAGAGCAGATAGTCAAAATTGCACCGAGGAGCAATAAATCACTAGAAGCTAGCCTCAAATGATAACAATTATGTTGAATGTGCATTGTAAGAATCACCGTTTGATTGCACTATCGCTTCTTGAGCTTGCTTTATATGTTGGGCTGGCATTTCTGTATTCTCATCAAGGAAGCTCGATTCGGAAAACTGAGAGTCTTATTCAACTAACTCTTATCATGGAAGCAGTTCCATTTAGTTCAATGTGTATTTCATTCAAGGGCCATATTACGTATTTTTCAACTGAACAGCCACTGCAACTGACACCTGGCTGTACTTGCGGAAAATATTTATAATGCTACTTGCTTCGCTGCTCTGCAGCGGAATGACATCTTCACAAAGTCGGAGACGGAGAACTATATCTGCTTTCATGAATTGAAAACCTTCTCCCAGGATAGCCGCTAGCTGAGATTTTGTATCGAGAAAGAGTGTGACGTGGTCAGATGGAGAAACCGTGCTGTGTTTTCACAGATGCCTATATATTGCAAGGTGCAATCAGTGAGTCTAGTGTACAGGCTTCATGTAAGAATAACACCACTTACGACACACACACACAGAGAACATGAAAACTACATGTTCAAAGTGGCTTCAGTTTGAGCAACAAGAAACCGGTTATATCCGAAAGAACGATACAGTTGAACAAGTCATGATCAAAACCATAGGGTTTGCCACAAGTGTTTTGCCATCAAGGTTTGCAGCAAACCTGTTCAACCCCTCCCCAACATTGTTTCTCGAGCATACTGCATGCAGATCTACGGAAGCACCTTGCGACGAAGGCCTTTTTTCAGTCGGCGAAAAAGGAAGGAGTGCCAAACCTGATCAAGCAGCAGCTACAAGTTTCGTGCTCGAACCTTGCATGGCCTGCACCTTAAACCCTAAACCCTAAACCCTAAACCCTAAACCCCAAACCCCAAACCCTAAACCCTAAACCCTAAACACTTTTCTTCGCTGACTCGTCCGAGCCCGCATCCTTTCCCAGGCTTCTCGCCCGGCATGGCCTGGGGCTGCAGGGCTTGCACAGGCTGCACAGGCCTCCCTCCACCGGTTCTGGGGTTTAGGGTTTAGGGTTTAGGGTTTAGGGTTTAGGGTTTAGGGTTTAGGGTTTAGGGTTTAGGGTAGGGTCCATATTGACAGATCTTGGCCCATCAAGGGGTATGGATCGTCTTCTAGTCTTGCACGGTACAAAGCCAGAACATCCGCGTCCATCCGAACCTTATAGCACAGAGTTCGGAAGAAGAAGCCTGCTGGGACCCATATGGGGCTTATTGTTAGACCGTTATAGGGTTTGCTGGAGCCTCTGGTCGGAGAACAAAGCAGGTTTTACTCTACCCTGAGATCTGGCAAGCGGGAACCCTTCAGAATTCTATGACATTGAAAAGCTTACAGTTACACTGCTGACCTCAAGCGAACCAGGCTACCGGGAGTTCCCAAACCGATCTAAATGTCAAACATTAAGAAACCCTGAACCCTGAACCCTGAACCCTGAACCCTAAACCCTAAACCCTAAACCCTAAACCCTAAACCCTAAACCCTAAACCCTTGTTAAACCCTAAACCCCTTGGCCAAAGAGTCCCTCTTGTGCTGAACGTTAACTCCTGAGCTGCCCTGCCAAACCAGCCCTAAACCCTAAACCCTAAACCCTAAACCCTAAACCCTAAACCCTAAACCCTAAACCCTAAACCCTAAACCCTTAACCCTTAAACCCTAAATCCCCTATGGCCCCCACGCCCCAGAGCGTCTGTGTGACTCTGGTCTGCTCACGGAATCCGGCACCCCAAACACATATTCCGCCCCTACTAAACCTGAAGCCTCGACGCTCTAAGCCTCGTCAGGTGGGTCCCTTGTTTGCTCGCATTTCGGACGCTGCCGCGCTTGCAGGCAGAGCTTTGGGCTTCGGACTGTGGGGGCGTGTAGAGTGTAGAGGTTTAGATGTGGGGTTTGGTTCATGACCGTGTTTACATGCAGGGCTCGGGGTGAAGTTTTTTTTTGGGAGTTCATGACGCTGGTGTGAGTTTCGGGCGTTTGCTGCACAAGGGTGTTGGTTGGTTGTTATCAGGGTTCGGGTTCGGGAGTGTGGCTAACCGGCCCACTTACGCGTCATTGACTCGTAGTGATGAGGGGCGAGATTGTCGGCAGACGTGGCATTTTTTTTGTCACAAAACTTCTGACTTGCCTCGTAGTAGAGGGTGGGGGAGGGCGGTGGAGGGTGGAGGAGGGTGGCGGCGGGTGGCGGCGGGTGGCAGCGGGTGGTGGACGCAAGAGGCGGAGGGCGGTTGAGGGCGTCGGAGGAGGGTGGCGGAGGGCGTAGCGGAGGGCGTGGCAAGGGTGCACCACTGCCCCAAACAGGTTGGCCATGCATGCGCAAAGCAAGCGAGGTTCGGGTTTCGAGCTCTTGAAAACCTGAAACCAGAGAACCCTGTACATACCGACAAACGAAATCCCTGGAACTGAGCCCGCTTTCGGAAGCAGGGGGAAGGGGGTGAAATGCCAAGCAAGAGTCAGACTACTCGAGGCCACGAGCCGACAGGCCAGAAGGACTGGCAAGAGTGAGCCGAGCCAGCGGTTAGTCGTGGATGTTCGGCTTCTTTGGCTCCGGGTGTAGGATTTCTATGGATTTCTAGGGCGTGCTGTTTGAAGCCCCCGGATTGACGTTTGGACACGTGTTTCTTTGTTTGGGCCAAGCATAGCAATGGCGTGTATTATAAAGATGCTGTTTGACGCATTGCCATTGTTAACCGTGATGGTTTCGTCTAAAAACGTTTTGTCATCTAGTTTCGGGATTTTTCAGTTTTGAAGATGTGCTCGCTGTCTGTTTCGGCAAAAACTAGGCCACCATTGCCTCCAGGAACACCACATCCTCGCCCAGGAGGATCCAGCGCCCCAGAATCCCAATCAAGCACTGCGAGCGCCAAGGCGAAGGCCAAAGGCTCGACGATGAGTTCGAGTCCCCTGGCCTGCAGCACGTTGGGGACCTGCCATGTTTGCGTTTGTTGGCTAAAGCCCCTCCCAAAGTTTTGCCCAAAGCCGAAGCACTTGGGCTGGTCTTAACCTGTCGAATGGCCTTTGACACTGCCGGACAAGTTCTTATCCTGCCTTTTTCGCAATTGCTGTTTAAGGGTCTCAGGTGTAGGTTTGTGCTCGGCCATGTTGAACATGTTGAGTAGCTGCCCGAAGCATTCTCTTGTAGAGCAGCAATGGAGTAAGCCTCTGCGAGCATGATTTGCATGATGGCCCAGGCGCTGCAGTGATGGTCCGGCACCCCGCAGAGGCCGGTCCATCTTCTGATATGGGATGCAGCACATCTGCATCACAGTTGCAGCATGTTGCAGCCAGCAGGCACGCGAATTTGGTTTTCACCCAATCTGAAGTAGGGATTCGGCATGAATCATCCTGCACGGTCTTGGCAGCTTGCAGTTGGGGGGCTCATTCAGCGGGAGCCCTGGGTCGGAGGACATCTTCTCACTGGACGTGGAGTGCCTGGCAGTGGGACGAACACATGACACTCGACAGCATCACAGCGTCACCCCTGCAGTCCACATTGTAGTGCCCGAATGTAGAAATGTAGCATGCCGCATGTCTGTTCCACCTCTCGGAAGAGTAATTCGCACTTTTCGGATTCTTGCAGAGCAGCGCCGCAGGGGCAATGGTATTAACGAGGACTTCAAGAGCACATTGCAGCCTCGAACCACAAGACCCTGAATCCCTGCCCCCAAACTGAAATCGCCCTGAAATCCTCAAACTTTTGCTCGGGTGCTTAGAACAAGGGGTTTGGGGTTTAGGGTTTCGGGTTTACGGTTTCGGGAGACACATCTAATCTTGGTTTTCGTGCTCCGAGATTGTGTTGTAATTGCATGCCGTCGCCGCAACACGACAGCACGACCCGGATCCAGTTAGCAGAAGTAGGGCAAGTAGCTTCATATGATTTCCAGGTACCTGTGCAGGTGCAGCGTGCAGACAGAAAGACAAATCGCCATCTCGTTCATGATCTCGCATGCCGGCCCCATCATAATTAATCGCTGCGCTACGTGAGACCCCTCAATCCTTGCCCAGCCAGAGTCCCGAAGCCGTCGTCTTTCGATCGTCTGGCTGCGCCAAGCCGTGCAGATATTTCGTCAGTTTAGTCACGAAACCCTTAGCCCTCAACCCTGAACCCTAAACCCCAAACCCTAAACCTTAAACCCTAAACCATAAACCCTAAACCCTAAACGACTCGCTGTCAGGAGAAGACTGACAGGGCACCCTGCTCCTATGCCCTGGTCGATGGCTCGGGGCAGCTGCTGAAGCGGACCTTGATCCAGGCGCCCCGCAAGGCACAAGCTGGGGCCGCAGTCTGTCACCGGCATGTTTAGGGTTTAGGGTTTAGGGTTTAGGGTTTAGGGTGGAACCCGTTTTTTTTTTTTTTTTGTGGGTGCTTTTTTGCTGGTGGTGCTTTTTTCGGGGGCCGCCCCGGTGAGTGAGTGACCTGGCGCGTGTCGCCCCCGCACCCGCAGCAAAAAAAAAAACGCGCCCCCGCACCCGCAGAAAAAAAAAAAAAAACGCACCCCCGCACCCGCAGCAAAAAAAAAAACGCCCCCCCCCCCTTCCTCCCCACCCCCCAGGTCATTTGTTTTGCAATTTCCTCCCCAACCCCGCCCCCAACGCCCCCCCTCCTTTAAATTGTGCAAGCGTTTTCAAAGCACTGAATCCTTCCCAAGGCCATCATGCGAGCATTGTGTTTGCAAACGGTGGAGGGAGGGCTGCACCCCGCCCGACCCCCCCCTCTTTAAAACCGTGGCAGCTTGTTTCTGAGCATATGAATCCTGTCCAAGCCTATCATGCGAGCATTGGGTTTGCAAATGGGGGGGGCTGCGCCCCCCCCCCCAGCCCCCCCGCTTCTTAAAGCCATGCCAGCTTGCTTCAAAGGAAAGGTAGGAAGTCGACCGAAACTGCGTTTCCCTCGGGCGGAATTGTCTACAATTCCATGCATGCGTGTCAGAAGCCATGTTGGCTATGCGTTCAGAGAAATGGTTGCCTCTTCTCCGTAAGTTTTGGTAGGCTTGGCTCCATGCTTTGCTTGTGTTTCACTCGGGCGGAGGTCCTTCAGCAACCATGTTGGATCATGTTTTCAGGCATGTTGAGCCCCAACGTTCCTTGGGAAAATCCATGCGTTCATTGGGGGGAAAGGATCCCGCAGTCGACTTCGTCAACTTCCTGAACCCTCTGCGTTCATTGGGGTTTCACGTCTCCCCCAATAAAAGGGTCGACTTTCCCGAGCCCCTGTAGGGGTTTAGGGTTTAGGGTTTAGGGGTTTGGGGGTTTAGGGTTTAGGGGTTTAGGGTTTAGGGGTTTATAGGCTAGGGTTCAGGAGTAGCTGCAAGCTCAATACAAAAAGGCAAGATTATCTATCTAGTCTTGGAGGAGGCACATTGGGCGTCAGATGGATGCAAGAACCGCATGGTTCCCACCAACAGGCAGTGCGAGTACAGTTACCAGGAGCATTCTCCCAATGCTTGCACGCCACCTTGCCAGATTTTTTGTGCTTGTTGACATGTAACTAGTGGTCGAAGCTGTCGCCGCCCGCACGGCGCCATCGACTACGTTTGTATTGAATTGCGGTGTTGCGAGAGACCCACCTGGTGACAGGTGGTCAGCTATCTCACGACGCTTGGAAGAATGGTCGTTGGTACTCAGCGGTCAAACTTGTGACAAGTGTTTGACATGCGACGTCCGTTCGTTGTCTTTTGCCCGTCTCTGCAAATATCAGCCGTGTGCTCTTTCCGTAGCACCAGGCATTAGAGGCATGGAAAACAGTTGTTTGTAGATGGGACAGTACTCTGCGCAGTGACGATCTTGTCTGACCAGGCCCTTCACTGGTCTGCGGGAAGGAGATATCACTGGGCAGAATGCCGTGCGCCTCTGGTGGCACGCGGGCACTTCCGTACAGAGGGCGTTGAAGCGATTCTGATGATGAAGAAATAAGTAACATGGCGCTGTCTACTTTGATGTCGAATGCCAATCGATTTCCCATAGGTTTTGAAGACCTCCATCAGTTTGAGTAAAATCAAAAGCCCTAGCAAATGCTCTGACCTCTCAGAAACTGTTGGGGCTGGCAGAGGCTTGAGGCCACTCCCAGCTACCGCAGCAGTCTAAAACGGCGAAGTCTTGCAAGACTCCCATTTTGTGTGAATAGCGCCTCACGGAGCTCCCCGAGTCAGTCATTCCCGTGCAAAGCAGGAGGCTACCAGGGGCAACTAGGCCAGTCTAAGGATATCAGATTGAATCTTTAAGTCCCCCGAACATCGAAAAGCTGCAGTAGAGTTGTTCCTGACTACTGAGATCCTGCAGCAGCCCGAACCATACCCTGACTCCCAAATCCCTGGTACCCGTACTCAAAAGTCGAGAACAAAGGAGTCTGGAGCGTGCAGTTCGCGAACTTCGTGAGATATTGCCACGGAGGGCGATCCTGGTTGGGCAGGCGGCCGGGTCTTGGGTTGTCCATTGAAGTACCACAGACCCTGGACAGCCACAAGCCCCAAGCCCAGACAGCCTTGTGGCTGGAAGTGCAGATTTTTGGCTAGGTTTAGGGTTTCAGGGGAGGAGGTTAGGATCTCAAGGGATATCAAGGGATATTTGGGGATGTTCAGGGTTTCGGCATTCCCTGTGAGCCTGGGCTCAGGAGCCGGCTGGGGACATCGAGTGGATGCAGCTGCGGCAGGGCGAGGTGGGATGGGACATGCTGGGCGTTTCGGGAAGTCACTACAGGGAATCTCAGGCTTATGACAGGGTTTGGAAAATTTGGCTAGAACGGCTGTTGAGGGCATCGGGATATACTCAAGAATGGTGTCTGGATTGGTATGGACATATCGATTATGTGACGAGGGTGGTTTGCGCTGCGCCTACACCACCTCCGCCGGTCCCCGCCGGGATCATTCTAGACCCTCAATGTTCGGACCCCAATCGCATCTGTACCGTAGGCACTCCACCCTCAGGTTCAGCAGAGCTCAAAGTTGGGATTTGTGTCAGGGACACTCTTGCTCACCAAAGATCCTAACCACATCGAGCCTCGAGCCCCCCCCCCCCCCCCCCCCCCCCCCCCCCCCCCGAAAGGACTTCGCCGGCGCTGTGAACCTCTCAGAGGCCTTGAAGACGGCGCTCAAGGAAATGGGATTTTTGTTGACTGGGTTTGAGGCTTCTGGGCTTTGGCTTTGTCAACTTGCGACGTGAAGACTTCGCCACCAAGCCTCTGCACCTTCACTTCTAGGTGCTTCAGCCTCCTGCCCTCCAAGGATAGGAATGACCGCCCGACGCCCTCAGTCCAGGTGTAAACCAACTCATCATTGCAGCGAGCTCTATATGCTCATCGAAGCAGCACCCGTTAGCTGCCTCAACCTTCAAGACCTGAAAGCACTGAATACATGGTAGTCATGGGAAGTATCCTTTGAAGTTGATGAGCACAGCCATTCCCCCCAAAGCAGCCACTTCCAAGCCTAGCCACCCTAAACCCTGAACCCTAAACCCTAAAACCCTAAAACCCTAAAACCCTAAAACCCTAAACCCTAAACCCTAAACCCTAAACCCTAAACCCTAAACCCTAAAACCCTAAACCCAACACCTGAAGGTTTTCACCAACGACCGCGGGATGGTGTTCTCCCTACGCCATGAGGCTGGCTTGCTCACCTGAGGGTTTAGGGTTTAGGGTTCAGGGTTTAGGGTTTAGGGCTCTTTTGCAGTGCTAGGCCCGAACCCAAAAACCCGTTCAGGCTATGGGCTCAGATGATTCCCAAGCCTAGCTCGCGCCTCAACCCGAAATCTCGACCTCAATGTCTTGGGACATATCAGTCGTCCGATACCTAGGGTTGCAGGCAACCTCTCCTTCAGAAATTTCAGGGGTTTGGAGAAGATTGCTCGTGTTTGCGACATCCATTTCTGTAGCCAAGTTTCTAGCGCATTTTGCGGAGCGAAATGTGTTTGCAGAGCGGCTTGTTTTTGTCTCGGGTGGTTTTCGTCCAAATCCCGGCAGAACCTCTGCCGTGCAGCATCAGACAAGCCCTGCGCCAATGGCTTGTGCTAGTTAATTAAGTCTGATCTGGTAGCACGCTGACTGGCCCGCAGCTCACTCACGTTTTTCGAATGGTCAGAACGAACGAAACGCAACAACAAACGAACACAAACAAACAAACATTTGGACTTTGACGCTTTGCGCGGTCTGTGCTACAGTGGGCTCTAGCCCAGCATTCGCGTCACCATGTCACAACACAGGTGAGCTACGAGCCCAAACAGGGAAGCAAGCAGCCAAATGGGCTGTTTGTGTTTTTGCTGAGGCGTTTGCTGCTCACAAACGTGAGTCTGCACCTCCACCAAGTTTCTTTCATTCTTAGCATTGTAACTGTGTTACCTTCACTGTGCCTGTTTAAGGGGCTTTGCGCACTCCTCATGTGGACAGAGCGATGCGCAAAGAGAGATCGGAACACTCTTCCTGTAAGACTGCATGCTTTACGGCCCCTCGTAAGTCACAAAGGTTCTTCAGCATTTGGATTCGTTTGTTTTAGTTGTGCTGAGCCTGGTTCCTTAGCTTGCCCCCCCCCCCCCCCCCCTTACTCTCTGTAGCTGTCCTTCATGGTTTTTGAGCAGTCCCGGCCACTAAACCTGAGCAGCATGAACAATTTTCAAAACGCCTTGATATGCCAATCAATCTAGTTGAAATTAAATGCACATTTCTTGGAAACTAGTCGAAATTTAGCAGGCAGAATGTTTGGGGCAATCTTTCCATCTGGAGGGCGAGTTCATGGAGAACATTGGTTTTAACAAAACTTTCCAGTAATTACATGTTGTCTGGAACTATAAGCGGGTTAAGGGTTTAGGGTTTAGTGTTTAGGGTCTCTCTGATAACCTGAAAGTTGGGGACAGCATTGGCAGAACCCATTCTTTCCATGAAGTTGGAGGACGAACTCATTGAACATTGGTTTTAGCAATGTTTTCCAACAATTCCACGTTTTGTGGAACGATGAGCGCGACGCCCTGCGATCTCTCTGGACCCCCCCTTCCCTCTCCCCAATTGGAGGCGCGGGTCCTTCTGGGCCGAGAGCCTGCCACCCGGCCAATGATCAGAAAGGTTTCGGGCTTGCGCAGAGTTCTGATTGCCAAGCACTAAGCCCTAAGCCCAAGGAGCAACCTGGGCACTGAACCGGTGCGTAGGACAGTGCTGCGTGCGACAGCGCTTGTTGCAGATGAAAGCATCAGTCGTGCGTTGGCGTAGCTTCGCGTACCCCAGCCATCTTCTTCGGTTCCGATTGCGAGTTCAGCCGCGTAGCTAGGACCTGGTTCCGATTGCGAGTTACTTCTACATTTGCCGTTTGGGATGTCGTGTCTTCACGTGCTCGGGGGCGGTGCTCATTCATGCAAGCTTCGTTTTTGTGCACTCGCTCTGTGCGTGTGGGTCTCGTATCCAGGACCCGGCACTGTAGGACATCTGTAAAGTACCCTTGCAGAACAGAACTGTAGCAACACAACAGCAAGCAGCACAAGGAGTGCAAACCTGACAGAAGTACCCGCCATGCAGTGCAGTACAGACTCCCCTGTGGGCTGAGCACTGAGCACTGGTGACCTGCAGAGCCTTGAAAGACCCTCGTATCCACGCTGGCATCCTGAAGTACGGACCAAGTCTAGCCCGAAGCATCCCTGGTGTGGCCGCAGGCTTCGGGAGTGCATGCAGCCCGCCAGCAAGTGGGGTTCAGGAGGGCAGTAGTCATAGCAAGCCTCATTGTGTGTTGCTTTAGCTGCAGGTTCCATCGAAGCTTCCTTCAGGTCTTCAGGTGCTGTAGGGATGTGTAGGAGTCCTTGTGGGGGTGATAGATCTGGTGCCCCAAAAATGTCAGGAAAGCCCACTTGGTTTCCTGTGGGCTCTTGAGCGC